GAGATTTATACCATCATTATACATCTCGCGAATATAGAGGTCTTCCTTAGGTCCTGATTGCTGCTTACAATGCTTAAGTAAAGCACCTAATAGTAATTAGTATAAAATAACTAAATACAATACGGATCGGTAAGGATCGGTAAGGATTGGTTAAATCAAGATTAGACTATAGGATAAATAATATATAACATACCTATCTAGTTTTATCCAAGCGGACAGGAAATCACTCTTTGCTTCTTAATCCAAGAAGTAATAAGATCTCTATTGCCAAGAGATGGGTGAAGTTCAGGGAGTGATGCAACACCTTGTGCTTGCAAAAACTCAGTCACAATAGAACTACGGATGAATCGACTATATGATAATGAATGATGATCGGTCCTTTGAATTAGTTGAGTCATATCCTTTATGATGTTGGACGGCGTCTTGCTTATTGGTGGAGGTGGATGTGTATAGGTGCCCCAAGATGCCAAGATTATAAATAGGCAGTTCTTAGTCTCCTTTAGAATCACTGAGATAAAGATAGTATTATATGGGATATAATAGAGATTCATGTCCACATGGTACTGGCACTTTAAAGTCCTTGATTTTGCTGGTACCATCGTTGCGCACGCGAGAGAGTTCATAGTAATATCGCGGCTAGCATGGCCTTCCACAAGTTCTCTAAGATAGACTAAATCATAGCCTTCGAGAACCGGAAACCTATGGAAGTAGTGCTTACCAGATTCATCTTCTGGCTTCTATATACTACACCTAAGATAATACTGATTTGTTTTAAACGCACTTGAGGAGAACCTCTTCAAAATCATTCGGGAATAATCTCTATATGTTTTCCCATATTTTCGATCCCATTGTTGACGGCATTTATGATAAAATGCGTAAGTACGTGCGTTCGCTCGGTCATCTCTAAACTTGGTCTGAAAGTAGTTATTGACTTCGATTTTTCTATTTTCAAGATGATCCTAAAGATCAGCAGTGACTTCAGAATGACCAAATTCAGAGGTGAAATCATTTGCGAGTTTCGGACAAGATTTGATACTAGAGCATGACTTCTTAGTAAAGGTGTAAGTGATATTCCCAAGTAGTGGTGATTTCTTATCCCCATGCCAGCGCTTATGCTGGTTTTCACGACCTCCAGCTCCATACTATATATCTTTGATCATATCTGAAGGATCTAGACCAGTAATCGGCATAAGATATGTAAATCCGTCTGGATGCGTCTGAGGGTACTCAGGTAGACATGCGGCGTATTGTAGGAATCTGACTTTATTATATCCACCAGATATTGGAACAGAGGAAAGTTGGAAGCCGTGAGGGTTCTCCTAAGTAAGAGTAGGTAGGTCAGTAGGGGATTGAGAGAAGGTTTCTAGGCTTTCCCTTTCGTCATTAAGATTCAAGAAATGATCAGGATCATAGAGTTCATCAAATGGAATTGATCGATTTTTCTTCCAAGATAAAATCATAGCAGAAGCCATAATTATAAAGATTCTTAAGAAAGTGAAGGCAAACAGAAATGAAAAAAAAGAGAAATCTGTACAAATAGAAGGGAATTTGTGGGTTCATAAATTGAATTATGAGAGATCATATTCTTAGAAATTAAACGATATATATAGAGAAGTATAAATAGACAAAAAAAGCAAATACCTAAATCTTCAGTCTAGTAAATAATAGTAAGGATCAGTAAAAGATGGTAAAAGATAGGAATCGATTTACAAGGACTGAGATATAAATAGATATAGTCTACAGATATATATACAGATATAGATATATTGTTATGAAATTTTATAATTTTAGATGAAAACTTCAAAAAATGATAATAAGTTCCTAAAACCAGTTCTAAAGTATTATTCTTAGGAATTCCTTTAATAATTATATCTATATTATCAAAATCTGAATTAAGTTGACTGTTTTATTGTTGAATGAAGGAAGAAACATTTTACAAATTCCTGGTAAATTATCGAAAATTGAAGCTAGGTGGCGGGGTGGTAGGGTTGAAGCACCGTAAGTCAAATCTTGCATATTACCACATAAGATGGCTATTTACCACTACCCGACGACCTTTTTTTTTTAGCTCCCCGACAAACTTATTATGATATATCATATTACCCACAAAAAATGAAATACAGAGTTTTTATTGGCCGATAAGACGAAAAGTTCGTCGGGTGGTAGGGTGGCGGGGTCGACCCTGCCACCCCGCCGCCTGTATACTCTTTATGGTCAACACATGGTGATGGTCTTTTGTAGAGGCCGAATCTTGAGTTGTATTAGCTATTAGACATTTTGCGTAGAGGAAGGCTGGCACGTACTTTGAGCTGTCTCCACGTAGGGGTGTCGAAACCATTGAACTTCAAGGTTTGTGGAGTCCTCTTGATGTTCTTTATGGCATCGAAATACTCCGAGTATTTTTTCTATGTCTGGCACATCAGGAGAAATGGTATAACTGTCATGGCCGTAAACGACTAGTCGGCACATGATTTTGTCCTGAATGATATGTTAAAACCTTGGGTCTTAATTATTATGATGGAAAAAGAAGCTTACTTAGGTATATCTGTCGTATAATTAAGGCAGCCTTGGAAGAAATTCGTATAGTACCTAGATAGGGTTCACCAGGGGAATCCTCGGCTTTTATCTACTCTAGACTGGCTTTGATATTGATCATGTCAGTCCAATAACATAATAGGATAGATACAACTGCGGCTGAGATAGTTATCATAGAAAACTAGAAACTATGTAACTAGTCTCAGGGAGGAGATAAACCCCTAGCACTCAGCGGCAAAGGCAGCAGTAGTAGGTGATTCGAGTACTACCAGCAGACAATTTATGTAAGTATAGATTTACTGATGAACAGGAGAAACGAAAACAAAATTTTATATCTATACCCAACGAGGTCATTTCACAGTAATTTGGAATACAACCAAATTAACTTCTTGAACTATTTCATTTTCTAATTTGAAGTGAGATAGAGCTTTCACTACACTACACTACATTATCAGCGCATAAATAGAAAATTGTTAGAAGGTATTTACAAGGGCAATATCAAGAGTTAGAAAAAAAAGAAACATAGCAAAAGAATGTAACAAACCCAATATTCTACTTCCGAGAGCTGATTGTCCTAAAAACTCCAGGCGTATCCCTCTCAACACCAATCCACATGTGTTGTCTAAAAAATTCAGAATAAGTTCGATAAATAGCCCAGGAATAGAAACCTACGTGGAGCCCAAAAGAACGATTCCATTCCGAATATGAGAAGGAAAAAGTGGCGAAGGAAGGAAGATGACTCTCGTATCCGATATTAACGCTTCGTTATTATGGCCTCGCTGAGACGGCTGGAGTTGGGTTTGTGGAGGAGACAGGGCACCTGGGGGGTTTGAAATTGAAGACGATAGGATGGGATGAGGACGATCAGGCAGAGGAATATTGTCTTGATCTTGAAGCTCGGGATTGGCATATAAGCTGAATTGGTCAGGAACTTCAAAACTGGTTACTGCCATTACCGTCTGGTTAGCAGAAAGCCTCTTGATTCATATTCCTGTTATCTTACAGTCATCCGTGTCCTGTCCCGTTAGGCAGACTAGACTTGACTTCAAGTAACTCCAAATATTTCTCAACATTATCACGGTATATTTTTCTCTCCCTGAATATTTTTCCTGCCTAGAAGATTTGAAAGTGGTAGCGAATCTTTCATTTATGGAGAGCGTAGATCTTACGTACCTCAAGTCTTTTTCACCCTTATTGGCATCATAGCTAGGAAGAGCAGATATCACAATGACAAGCTAGTAGATTCTTGTAAAGAATAGCCATTCAAAAATTAAAAGCATCTATCTTTCTTGGAATACTCATAAAATAACCTCCCGTCATATCATCTAAAGATATTATCAGCTTAGGGCTTCTCTGGTCACTTACTGCAAATATTACGTAGATTCCGCCCGCGAGCTATAGATTAGCCTGGAATCTTATTTAAGAGAAGACTATATGATTGTAAATTATGTTTTTCATACGTCACTAAATGATAGACGTAATCAGAGCATAATTCTTCTATGTGATTTGCCGCTCCCACTGATAAAAAAACCTCTGATCATCTCTTGCTAGGTGATCGGCTGACCTATCATATACTGTTACTAGAAATTGAACTTAGACGCTTAATACTGTCATTTTGATTGTAAGATTTGAAATGAACACAGGAATCCATTACTTTGAATGAAAATCATTATGGATAGCTCGAAGGTTGTCATTATACCACCCGTCCCAAACCTCATTTATCTCATATCCTAGGACTCCCGATAGAAACTTAGTCTTTAAAACTCCTAATTGTACATGGAGGCAAGGTTCTTGTAATAAACGCCTTGTTTTTGTTCGAGACTTTTTCCTGGTTACTGTAAAACAATCGGAGCCGCCTAGAGGAATAATATCCTAGCCCATACTCAGTTTGAACTCGTGATTTGCCAGTCTCTAATACTACCAGGTCCACTGGATTGTAATTTGAGTTCTGCCGTATTTATCTTGTGGTTGATGATGAATGCAAAGATTGTCAAATTTGATGATACAAACAACCATATCTTTGAGACCTTGCCTTCGAATATCGAGTTGGATGTCGTCCGTAGATCCACAACAAGTGAACAAGATGCGCATTGTCTGGATAAATTAGGATTGAATTATAGGAGCCCGAGAGATGAGTCAAGTACGTAATTTATTTTACACCCAATCGATGAGAAGTATGTGGTGCACAGCTGGCTGCAGGAAAATCCCTGTCGCTCCGGCACAAAATCAAAATTTGTGCCAGAGTGACAGGGATTATGTGATGACCCGGCGGATTCCCCGCTCCATATCATGAGAACTAGGGCTGGATCAGCTTACCTCGCCCCTTTCTCACCTCCCGTCTTTTTCGCCTTTCCTTCTTTTCAGCTCACTCCTTTCTTCTCAAATCTCTATTCTTCTCAGCTCTTCCTTCCATCGTGAATACTCCATCCAAGATCAATAGATAAATCATAGGAGTTTGGTCGACAATGCCCAATATTAAAGCGGTCTTGAAGGCAGCGGATGTATTCTCAGCTTTATCATTTATCAATATTCAGGAGCTGCTTCCTCACATGAGCAAGCTGGAAGACGCTTTATGCATCCTTCAGGAAAAGGTCGAAGCAACACGGGCTATCCAAACCAGTATTCAGCTTTCTTCTAGCAATTCATCAAATTTGGCTTCTTCTAATCTAGAAAATGACACCCAACCCGAAAATTCTGAGCATAACAGCACCCAACCTGAAAACTCTGAGCATCAGGTTAACCACATGATTCAGAAGGTTCTCTCAGCTTTGTCTCATGAGAAATCAAACGATATTCTGGATTTCTTGTCATTTCCTATTCGTGATTTTTTAGAAAATGATAATTCGGATTGGTACGGAGAAGACCCTCGTGTTGTTGACCTTCGTCTTTCCTGTCATTCGAAGTCAACTCTTGATATAAGGTTTCGAGCGAAGCTACGTCGAGGGTTAAGTCAGAGATCACTGGCTGTTGAGTACGACAAATGGGAAAAAAAAACGTTTAGCACATCCCGAATCACCGAACTTTCTGAAGATCCCGCAAGTTCAAATGATCACCAAGGCTATATCAAAAAATTCATCGAGGCCCACGCTCCCCTATTCAAGGACAAAAACACTACATTACACGGAATCAAGCAGGGAATAAGACTTCTTGTCTTTGAGAAAATGTATGGCGCTGCCGGCAGCTCTTCGATTTTCATATTCACATATGGGCCTTTTCGTTCGGTGAAATATAAGCTTTACCCCAATCTGAAGGGTTTATTTGAGCGTACCTCTTGGAATAAGGTAGCGAGAGAAAGAACAAACTGGCTTATCCAATATCAAGCTCTATATGATGGTAATTAAGCTTTATTATCTTGTTACCCCTATCCACGCTAACTTTTCTGCTAGAATCAATTCGAATGTGGCAACAGCACCAGATACATTGGCAAGAATCTTGTCGAGGGAAGAAACGTCGACGGATAACCAGCGCTACTTCCTCAGACCACAGAACACCGGCGGAAAATATACAACGCGCCCAAGAAATTCAATCAAGTGATAATACGGCCGAAAGCTTGTATTTTCAAAGGTCAATTCATGGACATCACGCCAGGGTTCCAGCCCTCACAAACCAGCCTTTGGAACCATCAGCGAATCCTACTGACCCACCAAATCTTCTTCCACCTTTTGAACAATTAATGTTTAGTTCATCGAACAATCACGACCTGACAAGTTTGAATAGCGTTCAAGAATCTTGGCCAAGCCTTGCTCCCCCAAGAGTTAGAGAGCCTCATATCAATGTGGACGAACCCCATGCTAGCATGGTAACCACCAATCATGACTTGATGTTTCGCTCTAGCCATAAGTCTGATCAGAGTTTGAATGAAGCGTCCTCATATCGGTCTCATCATACAACGAGCCCCTTCCAAGGACTCAATTTACGGGATACACAACGTGATACAGCCGACTACAATTCATGTATATGGCAACAACCGTCGAACTTTCCTTTAGTCAGCCAAATCAGGCACACCACAATCAACGGGGATCAGAACCATCAAAGCACACAAAACTCGCACCCGTTGAGTCAATCCGAGCCAAATACAGATATGACCACGCATCCCGATACAGTCTTCCCATCCTCTTTCACGTTACCACAGCATTTCTTGCCTGCATCATATTTCTTGCCTACATCAATTAACACCGAAGATCTGACATACCCTGATCCTGCGGATGTAATGGTTTCTTCCAACTTTCCTCTCTTTAACTCCGCACCATTTGCACCCACAAGCCACATACAATTCACAACCAACGATAATAGAGAAGCAAGCACACCAAGTATTTTTCAGCTTGAGAATGAGCTTTCCAGCACAATTCCAATTGGTAACATAGTAGGCGCGTGATTTGGCTTGGCAAAATGTCTGGATACTTCAATTTGAAATCTACTCTCATCCTCCTTCCCCTAAATTCTGACAATTGAAGAAGTAAGATTATGTTGAGTTGAGTAGATTCGGAGGGCTCAAGGGCTTCAGGGGCTTCGGAATGGCCAGAATGAAAGAGAGCGAGCCACTTAAAGTCACCTCTTTTTCAAATAATACCGGTTGTGATTCTGGTGTAAGAGTTTGTCCCCCTACAATGATGCCATTACCGGAGACGGGCTTAATCAGACCCATCAGCTCTACCATCTTCGTTGTGCCCGTAATTTTCCACACCTGCAATCCACACCCCCTTAACTGAGAAGGAAGTTGCCCAGCCACTTTAATCCAAATATGTTCCAATTGAGGGTCATCACAAAAGAAGGTATTCTGGCCCGTTTGCTGCCACTGCGCATCGATAAGAAAATTGGCAAGATGATCCATAGAGCTAGAAGACTCAAGAAAAACCAGTTAAGATGTCAACTTTCGTCTAACTATCACGTTGTCCAGAATGAAATAACAGAGCTTCCTTACCTACGAAGAATGAGGAAGAGCTTTATGCGTAGCCAAAGCGTATTAAGGCGCAAGCTCCTGTCGCAGTAGATTCCTAGTCGGCGATACAGAGAAATATACGTGGTAAGCAAGAATCGAATGTAGTGGGGTTCGGAAAAAGAGTCAGCGGGGTATAAATTATGGGTGCCCATTGCAACCAGTAGCGCCATTTCTGCAAGACTGTTTGTCACATGATGGTGCCCGAATTTCACGTGATAACATTTGAAATAATGTCAAAAAATGGCTAACTTGGGTGTTTGGACTGTTTGCATAGTCACTTGACTCATAATCGAGCTAATAGTAACAGTTGCCTCCTCTGTCTGTATTTCGAAGCATTAATGAGACCAAAACTTTGATTTTCTGGCTATTATCGATCCGAATTGTATCCAAATCTTAAAATATTGTTTCCTTAATCGTGTTGATTTCTCTTGCAAGTAGGACGGTAAATACCTGTGCTGCTCATTCAACAACTTCGTTTCTCGCAGATTTCAATCTCAAAGATGCCAAGGCAGCACTCTACATTAGCTTTACTAAATGTACGGAGATAGCTGAGCTCTGATGCGAAGACAGCATCACCAATGCCTGGATTGTAATCTAAAAGGAGCGCTAGACAAATAACCCATCACTCATTTTCTTAAGATTGAGTGCTATCTTAAGACACATTAATTTGTCGTATTTTTCCTAAAAGTGCTTAATGTAGTGTGTATCAGCGACTTTAACAACCCTTAGAAGATAGAAACATACATCGGTAGTCTCTTGATTAGATATAATATAGAATCTGAATACTAATAAGCATCAGGGATTAAAGTGGGGTAGAACCATTTTTTGAGCTCTATTGCATTTTGGGCTTCCCGAAAGCCACGCTTGAGTTTTTTGTATACCCTCTGTTTGCTTATTGAAGCATTCTTACCACGGAGAGAATGAATCTTCAGTCTTCAACTTTCATAACTTGATTTCCGGCCATTCTTGTACGAGTATGTAGCAGAACACCCTTGCTATCGGGCGCATTCATACGGGAAGGTAGGACCTCACGAGGTGACGAATGAATCCCGGCCATCGTATGAGTTTATCTTTTGAGAGATAATCAATTTCGATTTTAAATAAACGCGTAAGCCCTGGAGAGTAGACGTAAATATAATAGAGTAGATAAAATATGGTTGTCAAGCACGGGCGTGTTGTGGGTAACCTATGCTAGTAGCGTATCATGAAAAGCGAAAGAACTGCTGTATGACCTGGCAAATATCCACGGACCATGGTTAAGACTTGTAGGCTTATCTTTGGTGTAGCGACTCAATAAGGAATAACCAATTATCAAGTCAGTAATATCCCAAATCGAAAATGACAAATTATGATGGATTTTCGACTAACCCCACCTCGCAGACTCAGACCGAATTTAGCCACCTTAGTATATTTTCCGATGGAGTTATATTCCAACTGCTAGATAAACAATATTTTATGAAAAGATTCTGTGGATAAGTAAGCTCTTACTATTATATAGACTGGGTCCACATGTAAAGCATACTATAACCGCACCGGGTAATTCAGAAAAAGTTATTTATATAGCGGTAGCGGTAAAGATCATGCGATATCGATAATTAGAACTTTCTGATTATGTTTTGAGGTGAGGTATCTGTGCAATCAAGGCATCTAAGGGCTACTGTAGAAGATGGGGAAGGATTGTTCCCTGCCTGACATTATCATTACCACCAGGATTTACCACGAAAGGTTATCTCCCACTTATCGACCTGATCAGGATTTTTACTGCCGCTCAGATGGTGGCCCTAAAAATGGCATCAAATTAGTTTGGCGCTTTTCGACTTGGTCTAAGCTTACGAGTCAAACACCCAGTCACTCCTACTTTGTCACCTTAGAAAACATTGATAGCGTCACACGAAGGGCGGGAGACATGATGGAAGGTGGCTAAGCCTAGCAACTTGCAGCTACGATGCAGGGATTAGCCGCTACCGCGTCACGAGTTAGCTCTAATTGCAAGCATCATAAGCACTTCCCCTCCCTTAAACACGAGCCATATATTGCTGCACCGATCCTCTACTATTTAATAACTGCTGACCTACTGCCGACCCACATCTGACATTACTTCTCTAAAGCCTAAAGCTCGAAACAGAGACATTCTGGCTCTATAATTCGCACATTAATTTGTCCTTATACAAACCGTCCATCTCCATCTTCTGTCTTTTGATTTTGCAGATCATTTAGAGGTATTGATTATCTTATAAATTGAGCATATTCCAGATGACTAAGAATCTAAATTCTTTAGTATGTGCATCATCCTTGTATCCAAAACACACTATCGTGGTTGCCCGACAGCATGCGACAAAACTTCGAGGACACTTTCCAGATGTAAAAAGGCGATAGATGGCGGTGTGGACTGCCCTAGCCCGAAAGATCAACCACTGGGCCAATCAACATATCCTGAGCAGTGTCCAGACCATCGAGACGAAGGATTTAGTCGACGTTGACTATGCAAGAGAGATAATAGACTGGATGGCAGTTTGCACCTCCGCGGCTGAATCAACTTGAGATAGCCAGCATTGTTGGATGATTTGTCCACATAACAAACCAGAAATATCAGGGAACTCTTTCTGAAGAAAAAGTCTTTCAACCTCATCACTAGGGATCTCCTCATACGGGCTTGTGCCTGTCGAAATTTCGTAAAGAGTTGACCCTAATGCGAAAAGATCCGTAGCCACCGTAGGATGTTCTTGCCAATAGCGTGGAAGAAAAAATCGCGTTCCTTCACCAGAGGCCGGCTTTGAACCATCCAGCGAAGAACCAGAGAAGTCAATAATCTTGATATCGAAAGCGGGATCCAAAAGAAAATTTCGTGGTTTGATATCGCAATGGATAACCCCGTTACTATGTAAGATGCCAACAGCCTCTGCGATCTGAGATGCCCACTTCAATCTGAGGCTTGTCGATATTGAGTCGTGAGCCTGAAGATATGTCTTGAGGTCACCGTTTTTCATGTATTCAAGCACTAGACCTTCCCGGGAATGACTTATCATCCGAACAAGCCTGTTATGCGGACCAATACGCCGATAGATGTCGGCTTCTTTGGCGATGTCTATGATGTGGTTCTCGATCTCACGACCTGGATATGGTGCCTTGAGCACAGTCCCGTCATCAAGGAGCTCCACAATTCCTGTAATGCCTCCTGAGATAAATTCGCCTTGGGCATTCCTCGAGTTGGAATACCGCTCATTGGTTTCGATATCATTCGAATACTCATCAACTGACTTTGAACAAGGAGATGAGGCCGTTTCGACATCTCTAACAGGAGACCGATTGATCAGACGCGGTAGCGAAGATATACAAGACCATATCCAATTCCCAATAGTGAAGCATATCGAAAGCCCCCGTATTTTTAGAGCCCAAATAGTCAATGGCATTCCGAATTTGATGTTGATCAGTGAATGTGGGATCAGTGACAACCAACGGGTCGCTGACTATAAGCCCAGTCACGTGATCTAAATGTCACTGTCAATTTGTCACTTCAACTTTGAGGGAATAAATAACTTTGGACAATAAACATTGATATCAAATAAAAAGAGAGAAAGTGGGGAAAGTAGTAGAGTTAATTTACCTGATGCATTATACGAACATTGCATAATTCAAGTTGATTAAGTCGTGCAGGAATATCGGGGAATCCCTCGGCTTCGGAATAATGTAATTCCATATGCGGATAGGCAGAGACTTCGTTGCAGTCGAAAATGGGGGAAAACTTGCCTCTTTTCCAACACTACCAAATAGTCTTTCAGAATCCAACAAAATATGCAGTAACCATGCATTAGCTAGCTTTACAATGTGGCTATGTGCAGATGCGAAGGCAGCACTGTTTCATGAGAAATTAATCTCATCCAATCTCATCCGATCTCACCTGGCTCACCCGGCGCTGTGGGACCGTTTACCTGTGTTTAGCCTAGCCTCCTTCAAGATTCTGTTGGTAAGAAAATGTGTAAAACTAGAAATGGTGCTCTACCTTGAAGGATTCTGAATTCCAAGCAAAATTTGTTAGTATAGCAAAAAAGCTTACCGCGCCTGTTTTGGGACCGCAGTGTTGTTTCACATACTCACCCTCGAACTAGAATACCGCAACTTTCTGTGCATGGTCTTCGGTCTACTTTTGTGTACCTTAAAGATCAATCGTTCTCTTCGTCTATTACCTATGTTTTTTTTGAGTCTCATAAATTCATAATACTCAGGCAGGGGAACTACTCGTAATGACTTCTTTGAAAATTGCTCGGTCTGGTCACTCTTCCTCAAAAAGAAAGCTGGTTCGCCAAAAGCAATGTCGTCGTAAAACCAGTCTAATGAGAAAAGCTTGCGAGTATAGCAAAATGTGTGATGCAGATGTATGCGTAGGCATTCGCATCCGGGAGACGGGCCAGGTACATATTTTGTCTGCAGATGCTTCGGGTTTCTGGGCTTTCATTGCTTCAAAATTAGTGCGTTACCTTATCTTACAGTATTTGATATAAACTGACTCCATAGGGCTCCTACTATCCAGTCCCAAGTCTGATTACAGACCAAGACTTACAGAGGACCCGGAAAGTCACAGATGTCACCACCATGCGATGAATATCTCGGGTGATAAGTGGTATATGTCAGATTTTCAATATGTATACTTGATCAATCTATTTTCTTCTTCTTTATTACATTATGTATGCTAGTTATTTAAAAATGAGTATTTTACAATTTCCATTCTATACTAAATACTGGCAACTCCTATAAGCTGATGATTTAGGCGCGGCATCAATCAACCAAACTACTTCACCTCACCATAGCCCGGTCGTTGTGTACAAAGACGGTGGACATCCTGAGCATGTCTCCGAAGATGCATCTCATGTAAGAGATCTTCGTTGCACATATTGCAATGCCGATCCTTCAAATGCCTTTCCCGGAAATGTCGCAGAGTCGATTTGTATGCGCTCCATTCCTGCGTGCGACGATGTATGGGAAGCAGGGTATTACCATAGCATTGGAAGCAGCGCTGCGGCGTTTTTGCTGTCCTGATATGCTCTTCGGCCTCTTCTAAGAGAGTCACTCTGTGACAAGGCACAGAAGACTCACATTTCGTTCCAGACGGGCGCTTTACCACAGCGACTTCTTTGTCAAAACCATCACTTGGGGCTCTCCGTTTTCGCCGGCCGCGTAGAGGCCCGCCTTCAAGGGTAGGACAGTATTGTGATATCGCTGCTACAGCGGTGTTCCGGCGTTGGCACTCTGCCTCTAAGGAAGGGTTGATTGGCCATGTGAAAAGTTTTCCGACAAGTTCTATCTGCTCTGGCAGCATTGCGTCTTCTGTCTTTTGAGCCTCTTTCGCCTCCTTTTTTTCAATTGAAGCTCCAGAAAGCTGATTTCCGATATCGATGATTGCTTGTTTCCGGTCAAACTCTGTCCTTGTCTTCTTTTGCAAGGCCCTTCCTAGCCGACTCAATGTGTTGGCCCTTTCGCGTGTCAATTCTTCCAAACGTGCCTGCATTTTGTCACTAGCGGTCCCCACACAAAGCTTTGCTTGGTCATTCATTTTGCGTGTGGCTTCCATATAGTCTGGGTGCTCACGAAGAGACGCTCGTTGCTCCACAGTCAGGTGGCGGGGTCGTCTTCTATCGATCCATCTGCTCATCCGGGTAATCGCACGCATCATATTCTTGTTAGATGCGCGGCCATTCATAACATTCTGCATATCCGTATCGATGTTTCGTGGGAGATAATGGTTAAGAAAAGTCTGGATATTGGCGTGCTTCATAATCAAATTCTGCTGTGCTTCACTAACTGTATCGTTCTCGTTCAGCATCTTTCCTCCGCCATAACGAAAACGGTGCGCAAACATCGAGTGGAGCCATCCATGAATTTCGCCGAGAGTTTTTAACCGCCCAGACATAACGCCTTCAGTCATTGGCTTATCCCACTGAAGAACTGCCTCTCCATTCACTATATTAGTCTTACAGAAGACATAGCTGTTTTCAACTTCAGTCTTCAGAGGTAGTTCCATCTGCTGGCGGCCATTTTGAATAAAGAGCTGTCGAAGTTGTTCCATCGAGTCAAGACCAGGAAACTCGAAGCTTGCAGCCAAAACAAGATACCGAATATGAATACATGAGGACTGAAAATGAGTGTGGGATCATCAATGATTTCAGGAAGAGGGAAGTTGTTCCTAGGCGAATATTAGTATTAGTCTTTCTCAACAAAGTAAGGTATGCAATAGTAGGATTAAGACATACATTTGTGATGTGCCTAGGAATTTCTTGGTGTGTTCAGATTTAATCTCCACCAAGAGAACGGGAGGGCCCCCATCAGGATCTTTCTGGATTGAAAATTGTAAATGCTTAAATTGAAGCGCGAGGAGAGCGCTAAGGCGGTTCACTGTGAATATTCCAAGCATTGTAAAAAGACAAATTTGGATGCGCTCGTATCCATAATGGAACCGCTTCTCTGAAGTCCGAAGCACAGTCTCATTGAATTCAGTGAGATCTTGAACATATACCGGTATCTTCTCTCGATCAAGCCGATCGAGATTATATTTATCTATGAGTTTCCGAATTCCCTAGGCCATGTCAGCTCGGAGCTTTCGGGTATGCTAGGAAACTCACAGCATTAATTTCCTCACTATGCTCTGGTGTAATACTGGTTCGCGTTTTCCTCCGATAAAAGCCTCGAAAAGATTTCCATTCAGCAATGAGAGCGCTCGCTTTCTTGATACCTTTTAGACGACGACGGTCTTGACCAGTCGTCAATTTCAGGCAGTAGTTGAGAAATCGATGGGCATCATTCGGCTCAAGGAGACGAATAGCCTCAATTGGGTCGTTCCATTTTTGTAGTGCGTCCACTTCGCTAGCTTTGACTCTACAATATCTATACCATATGTTAGATAATGTTTATTTGTATCAATAATTCGATTGCTTACTTACTTTTGCCATCGCCGCTCAATCCGGTCCCCTCGGGCCTTCGTTTTTTCTGAACGCCCGTAATCCAGAGGGACATCTTGTATATCTTCATCAGTGTCATCATCTGGATCGTCGCTATAGTCTTCCGGAGTGCTGAGACTCTGGCGGCGCTTAGACTGGTGACAATTCAAGGAAAGGCGTGGGGTTTCGAGTGACATTGGATGCATCGTGGCTGGGTCTGCTTCTGATTCCGACCCACTAGAGGAATCTGAGCCAGGTCGAAAAGACTTCTCCGATGAGTCACTGTCCATATCAAAAGGTTCATCCTCCAAAGGTGAGCATGGACGGGGTAGACGCATATTGAGATGCGTTATAAACTCAATAGTAAACAGGAGATAGGGATGACGAGATAATATCGCTGAAAAGAAAGGTCTAGGTAGGAGTAAATTGTGAAGCCGGGGAACAGATCTACAGGAAAGGGAAAGTCGGCGGTTTTAAATAATTCACTGTTATCCGACAAATAAGGGCTTGCACCAAAAATAGATACTGATTTTGCGCTCTCGCAGAATGGAAGAGTTGGGGACGAAGAGGGTGGAGATGCTCTAGAACGCAAGAAGGCTGAGGCGGGGGGGGGGGGGGGGGGTAAGGACGGGTGAGCTGAAGACCACGCTCCCGAATGGTAATCGATACGCGGTATTACAAAAGGCAGAGGTATGGTGTGTGTGTGTGTGTTCAGAGTGGGAAGGTGCGTGTATGAAAGGGTTGTGCCGAGGAGGCCAGTTTCGGCCGCTTCTGACGCCAGAATCAGCTACCTCAGCACAAAAGCAAATTGTTATGTAGGGGTTTTTGAGTATCCCTAGTTTTTCTAATGCGAAAAGGAAAAATTTTAGTCGAATGTCCTTCGAGAAGTAGTCGTAAAGGAGGTGTTGAAAGGTAGAAACTAGGGTATAGTTTTCTAAATCAAACTTGAAAATTGTGTTTTTAGAAGAGTGAATAGGCTTACTGGTGCTAATTCGTGCTCTTAATAGTGTTTTATCGTATTTTCTTCGATCGAATTTAGCTTATTATTATAACGAGTTTTCGTGGTTTTAAGGATTTTTTATAATAACTTAGTGATATAACCTCTAAGTCTGATTTAGCTCGTCAACTGATTAGTGTCGATCAACTATGTTGAAAGGACAGGGTTTATATGTTATACTATATATACTAGAAAAGGGTATGGTTCGTCCTAGATTCTTAGTATATATGTTGTGTAAAGTGGTGTGAAATGTGTTTGATTTATCTAGCTACTTAAGTTCCTAATATAGTTATTCCCCTATAACTCGGGGGTCTGTTTGTTCCGTTCTGGGTTTATGGTATTATATGATTATAATATCCATGTTCTGATAGATACCTAAGACTAAAAGGACCTATAATAAAATAGCCGCGATTCTAGGAAAGAAAATGACCCTAGGAACCATGATTGCTCTAGTCAGCCTAATAAAACCTCTACTAATGAAAAACCTACTTATAATCGAGATATGGAATATTTCTATTACTACTAAAAGGGATATTTCGCGAAGGACTATTATAAGAAATAATAGGATGGAGAAACATAATCGACCTAGGTCAATACTATCTAAGTTCACGAAGAAATAAGCAAGGACTTAGAAAACTAATAGGAGCCCCTGAAACCCCTACTCTAGGAGCTCCTACCTAATTTATTAGGGGAACTAATATATTTAAATCTTTTATTAATATTGAATCACTAGACCCCTGATTAGGGAAAATAGTTATTAGGGTAAATTTCGACTCTTATACTAGTATTGATTATATCGACCTCGTACTTACGCGAAAACTTTGTCTATAGTAATCTAAACTTAAGCCCTATACTATTACTACTTTTAATAACCTCCCTATTCTAATATTTAGGGTATACTATATCCTAATTATCGCGATAGATTCTTGTGGTACTACCTAAAGTCTTACGCGGGAATATATTATGGTAAAACGAGATCCGGCATAACCCCCGATATTACTATCGAAAACCACTCTCGAAGATAAGCGAATTATATTTATCTTATATCAGAACTAATAGGTCTTTGCTATCTATTAGAGATAGAGTTTCGAGCTTATTACTCTATATAGATTTATAAAGCTCTGCCGGAACAAAAAAGTGGTATATATAATTATGCGATATATAGCCTAGAATACTCTTAATGATATCTATATTCTAGGAGACGACGAACCCCTAGAAGATCTATTATAAATCCTAAATAAATTTAAAGATCTTACCATAGTATTCGACGACTCCTAAGCTGAAACCCTCCTATATACTAAGGAAACCGATCATATAATTAAGCTCTAAGAAGGTATAGCTCTATTATTCGGACCTATCTATCCTTTTTCTTAAACAGAACTTAGAGAACTCCGCTTATACTTAGATAAGAACATCGCTAATAGAAGGATCTAATTATCTAAGAGCCTTATAGGCGCCCCTATTCTTTTTATCCTAAAAGTAGACGGCACCCTACGACTTTGCGTGGACTACTAGGGCCTTAACCAGATCTTAGTTAAAAACTACTACCCTCTCCCCCTGATTTCTGAGATCCTCGACCAATTATAAGGAATGAAGTTCTTTTCTAAAATCGATGTTAAGGATGCCTACTATCGAGTTTAGATTATATAAAGAGAGGAATAGAAAACTATTTTTTATATCTGATATAGCTACTTCGAATATATGGTTATACCTTTTAGCTTAACTAATACGCCTATAACTTTTTAGAACTATATCTATACCACCCTTTAGGGGCTACTCGATATTACTTATATAGTATATCTCGATGATGTCCTAGTTTTTTCGACTAACCAATAATCTTATACCTAGGATATTAGAGTAATATTTAAGAGACTCCTAAATACCTAGCTTTTCTATAAGCTATCTAAATATATGTTTTACTAAGAAGAAGTGGAATTCCTAGGGTTTATTATATCTAGAAATAGCGTGTAAATGGATAAATACTAGGTTTCTGCTATCAAAGAATAGGATATTCCTTAGATATTCCACGATATCTAAGTCTTTCTAGGTTTCTACAACTGTTGGAACGAATATCAGCTGACATACCAAGATCATGTGATCTTGGCATGGCAGCTACTATATCTTCTTTCATCTGAGCATTTTAGAATGACACTTCACTTTTACCCAATATGCATACACCTATTATATACGTACAGAAACGATATCAATAGCTGTCTGCTTCGGTAATAACCTAATCAACCGACACTGATCAGTAGACGTACAGATCAGGAAATACGCATCTACGAAGCTCGAGCGCGTTGAACAGTCTTCAAAAGCTGTTTTTCCAGATTCGCTAAGTTCTTGCCATATCTCAGTCGAAGGAGAAGATCGTGACAATTTGAGGCTTGAACGATCGCCGATAATTGCACCATCTTGCTAAGAAACCTACTTCATAGAAGCCCGAAGGTCTATGAAGAACGTCCAAAAACACTGAAAAACACTGAAAAACACTACCATACTTCCCTCTCATTTTCCTCCATTCCTTTCAAATCCCTTCATTTTTCTCATACTTGCATATCCCTGACCGCCTAAATCCCCTCATCCTATTTCTCTTACTTGCATATCCTTGACCGCTTAAATCCCCTCATCCTCGCCCTCCAACCTTGCATATCCCTGCATTCAAAATCCAGGAAACCCAAAAGTGACCTATCTCATATACTGCTACACCATCTTAACATTTCTGAAAAACCCATACTACTTTACACTATATCTGCACCACCTTTAGCCGCTGAATCAGCTTAATCAATCAACGATGACTATGATTGGGAAATCGATTTAGCGACAGCCATAAAGCGAGAGATAAATGACTACATTGAAAAGAACATGCATTTCGATAACAGAACATCAGATTACAACCTATAGGCAACATACTGCGACCTTTTCGAAAACTGGGAACCAGAACACTTTAAGCAAGTCGCACCTCTAAGACGAACAGCATTATAGACGAATCTACTTCAGCATGGAGTATTTGTTCCACGATTTGGTCGAGGAATAGCAATTTACACCCTACTATCCACAATAGCCCAACAAGAGGAGTTCCACGAATAGACAGACGAAGATATTGAAAGCTTCTTCACGGAATTTAAGATGCCAATGATTACTAGAGCACTAAGACACCGCCTTAACCCGACCTATACTAGATTGAAGCAGCCTTTATAAGGTACTCTGCCCCTATAAGCGGACCGCCTGATTATACCAAAAATCAATACATCCGCCCCTAGAAGTAGTCATCCTGACTAAGGAAGCGACAAATCCTTGCCAGAGGACACTCTAGGCGTTCCCAATCAGTTTTCTCCAGAGACTAGCCTATTTATCTTTGAAACCAAGAAGTTGAAGACTGATTTCACTAAAGAGATCAACTCTATGTTAAAGATTTATACTAAGAAACAGAGATATAGTAGGATAGATAATAGCAGCTTTGATTAGAAACTCAACATTTTTTACACTATCTATAAAAGAGTTAGGATAATACTAGATAGATATAACACAGCACTACTAATAATACTTACTAGAATTACCGAAGATTATTACTATAGTAGTGATTTGCCTTCGCGAACTTTTCAAGAAGTATATAACCATTTATACTAATTCTTTAAAGGTCCTGAGTTCTACCACTAGAACTTGACTAAATAGAACGATATCATACTATAAAGAGTGATAAACAATAACCATAATAAGTTAAACTCTATCTACTAGAACTTTCAAACTATGCTTAACGACCTACTTAAAAAACAACACGGCCTTTATCTAGAACTCCGTAGCAATATGATGTTGATCAATAAGCTAATTACTATATATAGAGGAATCCCTATATATAGTAACGCACTAGCTGACCCACTAGAAGATCTCGTACTATTGATCAATAAACTATAGTCATCAATCACCACCTAGGAGAAAGAAAACCCCGAGAGGTAAGCAGCATTCGCCTCGGAAGAAATATTCTACACCGATAGATGATACTATAGAGACGGCAATCAAGGAAGAGGACTTACCAGGAATCAGACCAAAAGAAACCTATAGGGAAAATGCTATATCTGCCAAAAACCAACATATCGATCCTGGAGACACACCGAAGAAGAACAAAAGCAATCAAAACAAAATTTCCTTTAAGGATTCAACCAGAATAAGGAGAAAAACGGCGATTTCAATAGGAGATATAGGCAATACATGCTCTATTGCGAAGGAAATGACGAAACCGAATAAGTTGAAGCTTTCGAAGCTCTCTTAGCTAACGCTTAAATAATTAGCCTCTAGACCAACGAAATAGACTCCAATAAAGACGAATATGATCTAATCGATAGC